CCTCCCCGCCCCCAGTGTCATAATGCTGACAAATAGGCCTCATCGCAAACAATCCTCTAGCATGGACCAAATCCAGATGTTTCTCAGCTTACTCCTCGCTGTTTTCCAACCTCACTTCTCCCTCCTCCTTCCTGTGAATGATCACACTCCTCTCCTTCCTGTACTCACTACTTCAGTGCACTCGCGTGCTGCATGCCCAGCTGCATACTCACAGATCCTTCGTCCTTCGCTCTTCCCTGGTAGGGGAACTGGGATCCAAGTGGGAAAGCTCAGGGGGGAGCTCCTTCCCCTGTGCCAGCAGCCAGGCCCGCTCTTCACGAAGCTTCCTCCTCCTGGCCCGTTCTGCAGTGGGGAGGGGGGAGAGGTGAAAAACCTCACATTCAGTACTCCTTGACAACAATTTCTTGCAGGGAAAATGAAAGGAGCTCCTGCAGCTCTCAAGAACCCCAGTGAAACATTCCTGTTCTTTCAGCAAAAGCAGCAACAGCACAGGAGCAGAGGAGGTGAGAATACAGCGCACCATCAACACGCCTCTTCAATTTCCCTTGACTTTACAACCATTGATTTTGAAGCACTACTATGATACAGATGCTCCCTTAGGCAGCTTCCAGACAAATTCCTGACCATGGTGTGGTACAAAGAGAGAAGTTCAATGCACAGACCTAGGCATAGATCAGCAGTATGGAAAGAGCTGGCTTGTGAAGTTACCATCCTTCACATGCTTCATCTCAGCCAGGTGAACTCAAGGCAGCTGGTTTTGCACTGAAATGGGTGAAGACAAGTACCAAGGGAAGGGTGACATTCTACCAGCTGGGTGGCAACGAATAACTAGGATCATTAATATCCTCCACCACTATGGCTAGTTTTGGGAAGATTGCTCAGGTAGGCCTTCATGGCCAGCAGCCAGAGCGAGCAAGCTGCCACACAGGAGGGCCACTGGGACAGCTTTGGTTTAAGAGGTGAGAGACAGGAAGAAGCAACGCTGGTAATATAACCTGTGGTTTGCAACCAGACAGCTGGCTAACACATTGCTTCATAATAGAAAGTTTATGGGCTCTTATGAACCTCATTTCCTTTTTCTTATAGAAAATCTGAATTCATTTGACTTGCTAAACACCTGTGGTTGTACCAACTCTCTGCAGGAGCAGAATCCTGTGAAAGTAATGTTCAAGGAGACATGTCATAGGAGTAAAACCCCAAAAAACAGGTCACATCGGGGAACACCCAGAGTGAAAGCAGGATGAGGGAGACTTGGCTAATACTGTCTAGCAGAGGCTCCATCTTTGGAAAATGCCAAGGACTCAAGAAGCACCAGCTCTAGTGGAAGAGTATTAATTTACTGTCTTACTCTGTCAGTCAAAACCAAACTTGGAATGGGGGTTGAGGGCACAAGAGAACCAGGAATAGCTACAATGTGGACATTTCTGGGGAGGTCCACGGCCAGATATGTCAAAGACTAGTAAAAGAATGTCCAAATTTCTCACTAGAAGACTCTGGGTAGCACTAAAGTTGGGAGGACAGGACTTGCATCTAAGATGTCCTACAGAATCCAACAGCACCTGTTACAACATTTAATGATGAGAAGTCCAACATCAAATTACAGTTAACAGAGATTATCTGAGTCTGCCCAAACACAGTTCAGTACTTCATACTTCTTTTGTAAAATTAGCATCACTTAGATGACATTGTAATGGATGCCTAAGTGAGAAAGCTGAGAAAAACATGAGGCAATGATTTCAGCAGCAAAATCTCATGGCAACAGCAGCCAAAAGGTAAGATGATGTAGATTTTAGAAATCCATCAAGGCCTGCCAAGGATCTGATGTGGTAAACTGACAGGAATCAGAGTGCTACCCTGGTACGAGACTGGAACTCAGTCAGAACTAATGGCAGGTCCCTTCTACCACAGCACGTGATTAATATAGCATATTAAAGATCACTGGAAGAGCTTTTTGTCATGCTGCTGGCCTGGGTTAAGTCCTACCCTGCAGCTTTCAAAATCTAACCAATGCCCCCCAAAGTACCTCAAACAGCCAGAAAGTCATATGTGTTAGAGAGTATGTTGGAGCTGCATCTGGGAGAACTGGGAAACTCTAACCTGCTGTTGTGGTAGAAATCTAGAAAGCTGCTTTAACTCATAAATTCAGGAAAGCACAGATGGGCCCAGCAGGAGGCTTGCTACCTGGAGCGTGCATTGGAGTGGGGGGAAGTGAAATCCCAGAGTGCAAACAGGAACATGATCTAAAAACAGGCATACAGTCCAAAACTGAGAAGCAGGTGAAGCACTGATGAAGTTCATCAGAGAGCAGATATTTCACCCTGTGTTTCACATCACCCCTCTACAGAAGACCTTACAAAATTAATGTTAAATCCCAAACAGACTGCAAAATACAAGAAAATCTTTGTTACCCTAAAATCTCTGACGATGGATGTCCAGTTTTAACAAGTTTGAACCAAGCAAAACAAATTACTTCATTTTCAAATCACTTTCTGTCTATCATAAGAACTGTCATGAAAGTAAATGCTTGGCATGCTTGGCAATAAGAAAAGATGGTTAAGATGCCAAAGTTTTACCTGGATAGCTGCCGTTTCTAGGGATGAAAAATACTGCAGTGATTTAACGGAACAAGTCAGTCATTTAAACAACCTTTCTAAAGAGCTTTTGCACCAGCTTAAAAGGAAACTTCTCCCGATTGAGCCTAAACTGACTAGGGACAAGTTTAAACTAAATGGAAAGAAACCACACAAACCAAAATAAAAGCATCTCTGCCAAGGAAAGCATGAATGTATGCTAAATTGGCTAAACCAGCTTAAAACAGTTTACTGTCCAATCCCATGCCAGTTTCTTTGAGCGGCTCTGATGCCTTTGCATCAGATGATGTAGTGATTGCATTTACCCAGAAAAGGACATGGCTTATAGTAAAATGACCTTTTTACAGGTACATTTATCTTTGCAGCAGTTCTGGAACTTCGAGATTCATTTTGTCTATACAGATGGGGAATTAAAGCACAGAGAATATGCAATTTGCCAAGGTGAAACAGATATCTGTGGCAGATACGGAAGCCGGATGATTCTCAGTTTAAAGCATCGGATTAGCTAGGACTGGCAACCAGGAATATATGAAGGCCAAGCAAGTAATTGGATTTTCTAAAGGTTAGAAAGGTAAGCAGGTAAAAGAAACTATTCTTAGATAACATCTGGTCTGCTATCAAACATCTGGTAGCAGTCTGTTTCATCTCAGAAAGTTTACAAGGTTTGCATGAACTTCATCTTTTTTCCTTTTCTGATTCTTTATCCACTTAAGGAGTCACAATACTGATACTGCCACACATTACCACCATAGTTTTCTGAAGATGTTCAACCTTTCCCTGGAACTGCAACAGGCCAGCCAGCCACTGCAGCAAAAGCAGCAGATAAAGGAATCCCCGTAAGGGAGGCTGACAGAGTGGTGGTCAGAATGTCAGAAGGTCAGAAATGAGCCTGCTCTTAGACACCAGTGCCTACATGTACCGGCTGAATGCCTGCTGTCTGTGCCTTGATCTCATATATTAAACACAACATGGCTGTTTCTTGCAGAACAGCTTAAATCAGCATTTAATTCAAAGCCACGAAAAAACAAGACCAACACCTGAAGTTGCCACCTCTGGTGCTCTATTTAGCCTAGTTCCCTCATCTTTAGTTCTCCAACTGATAAGGCCAGGCAATGCAAAATAACTACTCTGGCTACTCCCATCTTGTCCCCTTCCCTTTCTCCTCAAAAGCAATCCTTCTTTCATCATGCATTGGGCCAAAAGGACCAAATGCTATTCAGCAAGAGCAAAGCCAGCTAATCCTGCACACAGGGAAATCCACGAGGAGGCAAGTGAGGAGACAGAAGAGAACTGAAGAATGACACAAATAGCAGGGAAAAAAAAGTACAGCTGGGCCAAGGAAGAAAATAATCATGATTTGAGGAAGACTACACACAGTTGAAGGGTGCACTAGAGAACAGCCACCAACACCATGGGAAAGATCGACAAAGGAAGTGAAGCTACAGTCAGACCAATTTATCTGAGGTAAGCGCAAGAAAAGATTTTCCCGTTAGCAGGTCTGGGAGGGGAGGAATGTAAATGGCAGATCTTAATTCAAGATCTCAATCTTGGCTTTGAAAGCTTCCACCGCTGCTTCACGCTGGCTGCACATACCTTCCACTGCTTTGACCTTCTCCTCCATCTCTCTCTTCCTCTCCTCCTTCAGCAGCTGTTCCTGCTCCCTCTTCTGCACTGCTATAAGGATTTGGCGCTCCTCCTCTTCCTCTCTGCGCCTCTGCTTCTCCATTGAACTCAGCACATTCGGGTTTACCTGTGACAAAATGGTGCACCAAAAACTGTAATGTGTCGGCTTACTGAAGTCTGAGCAGAAGCAGGTTTACTTTGAGCAAGTATTAAAGCATACCTACAATGAATGGCTGGGGGGAAAAAAAGGGGTGAAAAAAAAGGATTTGTACATATGACCTCTCAGATGAAAAGCAACATGTAAAGGAAAGTTATTTGTCAAGCAATGAAATCCTACTGATACAGGGACAAAGGAAGGAGAAGCAATGGGTTAGACAAGCTGCTGCTCTGCCAGGGATGCACCGCGTGTATTTCCCTTCTGGGCAAAGGATTCAGGCTGTTGACACCCCCACACAACACTGCTGCCCCTTCCAGCTAGCAGAGCCTGGAGTTGCAAGCGTGAGAAAGGACTACTCTGCCAAACCTGGCTCTGCTATAAGTTGGAATACTTAGGATAGGAAAAGAGACCAGTACAGCCTTGCATCAAGGTATTGTTTGGAGTGTTTTCCTTTCCTGTTCAAAATAAGGCCTGCCATATTTCTGTGTGCTAATCTCCCCTGAACTAGCTCTTGCTTGTTTGGACAGTTTTCCTGCTGGGTCTCCCAACCAGTTTTCTCATTCAAGGGCACCCGGCTGTTTAGTGCCCCACTTCCTCACCTTCCCACTGCCAGCAGGCTGCGAGGCTGTGTTTGATCCCACTTAAGACTGCAGGCTTCCCAGGCCAGGTATTGCCTGCTCCTATATGGCAGTGTGGAATTACCTTTATTAGCTTAATTAAATTAAAAGACAAACGGATCGGTCATCGAGGAGCCACTCCCACTTCTTCAACCTCTGCAAGACCAAGGTCTGTGTGCCTTATCAGCAGGGAATATCAACCGGAAAAGAACTGTGTGCATACCATTCTCTCCACCTTCATTTTCAGGGAATAACCAGCAACCACCACTTAGGCAGAAGGCATTTCCTGAGGATTAGCAATCAGCTGGGGTCCCTTGGCTGCTGCTCAGACCATCTACTTCTCCAGGCCCATTATTAATCCCCAGAAAAAAATCTGGCACTGTGATTACTATTTTGTCCTTGTTTTATTGCCTAGAAGTGGAACCTCAGGGTGTTTTGATAAACGACGAGAAATTTCTGGTTTCACTGCACATTCATTCCCCCTCTGTCTCCTCTTCCCCTGCACATCACTGCCCTACAATCTCCCCCTGCAGCTCTCCATGGATGAGCATCGTGCATTATCTCCCTGCCTCCAGCAGCATCAATATATTAAAAGAATGATGCTTCCACCACCAACAGCTGCGGAGAAGTGTCCAAGAGAGGGTGATGGGACTCCTGACAACATTAGGACCATATCCTGCACCTAGGGACAGACTGGACAGCAAAAACACCTATTCTCTACTGATCTTTTTAGGTGAAGCCCACAGCACAATCTCACCACAAGGGAACTCTGCCCATCTTCTTTCCCTTTTCAGTTCTTTGCCAAATATTAGTACTTCACACTTCTACCACCTTCCTAAGGAAACCGCTCTGCGAGTCCACATGCCTTTAGGTTAGCCAGCTTCTCCTCACATTCAGTCTAAAGTTAATTTCTTATCCCCTCATTCCATCCAATTATTTGTAGTTACGCTCTTCTGGGCAAGCACCAATTCTCTTCTTCAGTCACGTTCCAGCCTTTATGGGCTTTCTCAGACACTTACACAAAACTCCCATGTTTCTGTAATTAGGTTAAATATTTCCGTATAAAGCAACCCTTCCAGCTCCCTAGTCATTCCAGTTGTCTCTCTCAGACCTTTCCTCCAATTGATAGGTATCCAAACACCAGGATGCCCAGGACTGAATCTCCTGTGCCAAGGACAAGAGATCAAGAACCTACAGAACTGGGTTCCACATTTCCACTTTTGAGGCTTTTCATATCCCTTTCTCAACCACTCTACCATCCTATTTTCTACTCATGCACTGCAAACATCTTCTTTTCAGGCCTGATCCTGATCATCATCAATGAGTTTTCCCCTAACTTTCTTGATCGATCTTTAAATTGTAATAGAAACCAAAAGCCATAAAGTTCTGCAGCAATTAGGAAGAGAAAGAGGTGAGCAGCAACCAGCCACCAGAAGTTGGTACACTAAGATATTTTACTGCGGATGTGACCATCAGCCTCCAGATTCTCCAGCTAGTAGATCTAAGCCAGCCTGGCATACCACGCTAATTTCTTCAACTGTTGGTTTCCTTTTCCCTGGATTCATACAGCTTCCACCATTCATGTCCTATGGAAACGTGAACACAACATCCAAGCTGCAGTGCTCACACCAGGGCCTCTCCAAGCCCGCAGGGTGCATTCAGCACCCTATACTGTAATGGCGCGACGCAGAATCCATAGCACGTTTCACATGAACCCACCACAAATATGGCATTAACAAAGCAACGGGGCGATCTGTAGCAAAGGAGAGGATGTCATCCTACCAGAGCTAGGAAGGGAAGAAAAGGGAAAAGCAGAAACAACAAGTGAAGTATTACGAGCACCAAGGGCTGCAGCACATGCCCACGACAACTGCACTTGTTCCCTGCAGCGCTTGCAGGACAACAGCAATGCTGGCACGGGCTCTTCAAGCCCATTGAGAACGAGGGTGCTCAACTCAGGGTTAAAAAAATAAGCAAACACAAACATGTAAACTCCTACTAGAGGTGATGGAAGCGGATGCCTATTGGAACAATAAAAGCAAGAACCCAACACAAGTTATACTTCCTTCCTGAATGAAGAGCTGGCAAAGGGACGTTCCTCCAGCTTCCTCTCCACTTGGAGGATAAAAACACTCCTCACATCTGTGACCGCAGCATCACCACCTCCTTCCCTCCGCCAGAGAGCACTCCAGGACACAACATCGCTGCCTTTTCCCCCTGGGACCCTGAAAGGGCCAAACTTCTGCCTTTTGCTTTGCTCTCCAGACAGTGGGTATCAGGCTTCAGGAGCAGAAGGCCAGGATGCACGGCTGCTCCGGGCGCCCCAGCCCCCTTTAGCCACACACCCCGGCCCCTCACCCTCCAAACCTTCCCTGCTCCCGTTTCCGCAGCACTGCCCTAATGAGGGTGCTGCTCAGGCAGCTCTTTAATGAGGAGCTAATCTGAACCACCTGTTGAGAAATCCCCCGCAGGATTAGGAGCCTACGGAGCAGTTATATCTCGGACTGAAGTGGCATCCAGCTTGCAGAGCCGGGAGGAGGGGGTCACCCCTACACTGGGCTGAGGTTTTCTCCCCCAGACTCGCTTGCTGCTCACCACTTGCTCGGCAAACAAGCCATCAGACTTGCTAGCACTTTCCCTGGCTCCCCCATGGAGGGGTGACTGCCACATCCTGCTGGGGAGCCAGCACGAGCATCGCCACCCTCACGCTGGCTGGCTCCCCATGCCTCAGTGCAGCGGGTGCCGGGAGGGCCCCCCGCTCGCTGGAAACGTTTCACTGGCCCACAGGCATCAATTAACAGCCCTCCGCCGCCGCAGACCTGGACGCCCTGCGGACGAGCATCGCCACCCTCACGCTGGCTGGCTCCCCATGCCTCAGTGCAGCGGGTGCCGGGAGGGCCCCCCGCTCGCTGGAAACGTTTCACTGGCCCACAGGCATCAATTAACAGCCCTCTGCCGCCGCAGACCTGGAGCACCTGCGGTACTGATTAGCATCATTCAGGCTCCATGTGTTTCCCACTCCCCTCCTCCTCTGGGATTTCTGCTGCCTGTGAACAAACACGTGTCCCTGCGCTTCCTGCACGGTGGGCTTTGCAGAGAGCAATTCTAGCCCCAAACTGACCATCGCTGGGGTCTTATTTTCCTCTCGGCAGGCTTTTATCTGCTGCATGATGAGACGTCCTTCCTTCCTTTTATTTATCTATTCTAAGTAATTATATTTATTGCAGGGAACTGTACTTTCTCCTTTGTTTTGCGGGAACCCCTGACCCTGGCTCACGTGGAATATTCCCTGCAGTTTAATTTCCCAGGGTTTGACAAAATACCAGGTAACTACATTTTCATTACATCTACAGTGAAAGATTATGCCACGGCCTGATAGAATCAAGCCAATTTTTCCCTCCGAAGCTAATCCCGTGTTGCCTGACCGATTGCTTTGGGTAGCAGTTGCCAGTTCAAAGACCCCCCATCTCCACCGTACCATGCCCCTGGCTGTGCCAGTGCAACTGTTGGGGGCTGCATGGTGAACTGGATCAGAAAGCTGATCTACGTTAAAAATAACCCTGACCAAAGAAAAAGGTTATATTTAACTCCAGTCATTTTCCTGGGTCTGGTTCACTGCACAGACCCGCAAGCGGCAGCGCTGTTACACTGATGGGGTGGAGAGGAGATGAGGGTGAAGAGGCACAAAAAGAGCCGTTTCAGCTGACAAGGCTGCCGTTTGATAAGCATTTCTTTAAGCAGCCTATATTGTGACTTCCATTTCCAGCTGACCCCCTCCTAGCTCAGCTCTGTACCGCATCAGTCATTCTTCTCTCCCTCCGCACTATCTACACCCTCATGTGTTTGCAGCCTCACGTTTTCCCCTTGGCTGAATTTCTGTCATTTCCCTTTGTAAGCCGGTTCTTCTAGCCCTCTCATCCTTCTTCAACTTTTCTTTGAACTGCCTCGAATGTGCCAGCACTTTCATTGAAGTGGAATTCCCCAGACTGAGTGCAGATTTCCATATGCAGCTGCACCCGAGTCTGCGGCGAGGCCGGTTACCTCTGCGATCCAGAGGGCAGCACCTCCCTGCTCGCCATAGAAACCCCGAGTGTCAGCCTGCCTTTGACGGGCATTACCACCCATCTCTCTTTCAGCACAAGCACTTTCAAATGACTCCTTCCCACTGAATAGCGATGCTGCAGTTTATTTTTTCCCCCAGGAGGCATCTGCTCTCGCCTCCCTCCATCGTCCTCCCCCTTGCACCCCCCCTCACCTCCTGCTTGATTGGTTTGATGGGCTGATGGTCAGACATCCACCTGGGAGAAAACTCTGTCCGCTGCAGACGCTTCTCCTGAAACAGGGTTGAGAATTGAGGGAAGGAAAAAGAGAGTGGAGGAAATTAGGGCACATCGGTGATACTGGCAGGAGAAACTCTGGGGGCTAGAAGTGACCATGAAATCCCTATTAGCTTTACAAGGGTAGGCAAACAAGCAAACTGAACTCAATCCAAGAATATCATGCTGACTGCAGAGCCCATTTTACAAAGCCATCTAGACGAAGGATCCTGTTCCAAATCTGTCCCACCTGAAAACATACAGTTGACGGAGTTTTGGGACTCTGACATACCAGCTCAAGCAGATCAGGTTGGACAACTAAAGCAGCCACTGCCCCTTCAGCAGAGCCAGCTGAGAAACAGCAGTAAAAGTGGAATCACAGGCAGTTTGCATAGAAAAGCTAGGCTGTAAATCGCAGCAGTTAAAAAAGCAGACAGAGATTCCTTGTTAGCAGAAAAGGGACACAGAACATGGCTGAAGACACTAACCCCTTCAGCCATCCTACCTATGTTGCCGTGCAATCATGAACCAGATCCTTAAGTATCGACTCTAGCCCTGCCACTCCACAGGGGAGAGCCTTTCTCCCCATACACAAGCTAAACGGCCCCCGCATCGCCGACACTTGCAGGCTGGAGTGGGGGGAGCAGGATGGGGTAAGGTCTGCTTGGATTCATCTCTCCTTCAATCAGCAAACGTCCATGCTCTTGGAAGCAGTCATAGAGAGGTAAACAGGATGTCATGTCTCCTCACCTTCTGTGCAATCATGTTGCAGATCTCCGGCAGGAAGTCTTCACTCAAGAGTTTGTAGAGCTGCCGCTCTCTAAGGGAAGTCCTCTCTCTGAAGCTCTCTGTGACCTGCCTCCACTCCTCTTCCGTCTGACACAGCAGCCACCATGTCCCACGGCCAGGCCCTTGGGACCCTTCAACAACATGAAAGGATGTTATCTCCACAGCAGTTATGACTAACAACTTTATCTCTTCTCTTCTCCTCTCCTCAGGGCTCGGGAAAAGAAAAAGATACTGCCAATGGCCGCTGTTATGGGAAACATGCTCTTTGCTATAGACCCAAAGCTCTCTTGATGCACCAGAAGCACTGCTACCTCCCCTAGCGACACCAAAAGTGATGCCAAGACATGGAGGAAGTACACAGGTGAAGAAGTAATGGTGGCACTTTGCAACGCATGGGTAGTGTGACATCCCTGTAGCAAGCCTCCATTCCAGTTATGATGGACCAGAGAAAAGGATTTAATTTGTTTCTTGTAATGGAGGCTGTCAGCCAGAGCAGGACACGGGGTAATGCAAATGTCTGATTTAGTCTGGCAGCAGAATAAAAACATTGAAAATTAATGTTACTTGAAATAAGCCTTTCTTTTTTTTAGCACTGTAAACCTTTGCTGCGGTGAATAAAACCTCCCATTCTCTCCAAATGAAACATTTTGTTTGCAGGCACTTGAAACAGAAGAGGAAGTGAAGGATGGGCGGCTTCATCAGGCTGCCAGATGAGGGGGATGTTCCAAAAGTTCACATCCCATCCCTGCTCCATCCAGAGTGGGATCTGAAGCAGATCTCCCACCTCTCTGAAGCATGTCCCAACTACCAAGACACTCTGAGCTGTTCCGCCTTCTGTGAAACGTTTGAATATTAATTGTGAAGGAAGGACTCTCTCACATGGTGGTTGGAACACCCACCTGGAGAGGGGGAATGTGGTTCCTGCTCCACAAATGTTTACACAGAGCAGAGAAGCCTCATGGGTTGCAACTTGCATGCTTTTGCCCCAGGACACTCTCTCAGCAAAAAACATTGTGGCCCATTTTTGGGGAAGGGGGAAGATGTTGGTTCAAACCCCTTCAGGTTGAAGGGTTCTCAGCTCCCTCCAGACTTTTCTAGAGCTAACCACAGGCTACAGGAAAGAAAGCAATGGTCACCACCCCCACTAGCAGATGTCACACAGCTTCTCACCACATTTTCAAGCAAATTAACTATGAAAAAAATGAAGGAGCAAAAAACAGAGCCCCTTTCTCTCTGAACCCGACCCTGGGGCCTTTGTGGCTTTGAGCTGCCAGCGGCTCCAGCACATGAGCTATCAGGTTGCCCCAGGAAGGCTGGAGAGCTGCAGCCTCCCTCCAGCCACCTGCCCTCTGTCGGAAACCTCTGTGCCGTGGTAGCGGCGCAGAGCAAGCGCGTGCTAGCTCCAGGTCACAGGCCAGCCTGCAGCTTAACCCGCCCTTGGCTTCAGCTCAAGTTAACGTACTGGGGACTGGTAACTGTGATGGTGAAGGACCAACCACATGCTGTCTTCTGCTGCCCTGGCTATGCGAAGCTGTAACCTGCCCACCCGTCGTGGGGAGCTTACCTGCCCCCAGAGCCTGGCCCCTCGTTTCCCCTTCCCTTGCCAGCTGCCTACAGGCGACTTGTTTCAAAACCAATCAGGACTAAGGCACTGCTTTGTGCCACCAGAAGATTACTCAGCAGCTGAAGTGACACAATTTGCTGGAAGACAATGATCTGATAAAACCCCCAGCGTCTCACCCGGCTCTGCTGCCCAGCTCCCGAGCAGCCGCTGGGAAATCTGAAGACAAAGGGAGAAGAGAAGGAGGCACAGCAAAGACAATGCCACCGTTGCCTTTTATTGTGGGGGAACACGGACAGGCTGAGCCTCTGGGTTATGTGGAAGCTGTTGGATCCGCATGTATGACAAATGAGTTGCCAATTCTCTTTTTCTGCTTGCCTCGTTAACCCTTAGGTGGGTATCCCCAAGACATCATTTACCAAGCTCAGTGACCCAACAGCCACCAGGAAGGAGAGGCGAGGAGAATCAAAAAGGTTCTTCCTTCCCTATCTTGGCATCACTGACCCCACTGTCTTCCCAGTCCAAAAAAATGCACCAGCTACAAACAGGGGCTTGTGTTCACTTCATGTCTGGAGCAGCAAGGGCCATTCACAGCCCATTTCCATCAACGTCAGTGAGTAGGTGGGCCCCCCAAGACCTAGCACAACCCAACGCGTTACATTTCTTCATCCCAGATTAATCCATGATAAGATAGGAAGCCTGCAGGTGCCCAGGCTCCCAATTGAAATGCAGCCTGTAACGCCAACCTCTCCTTCCAAACTCGGCCCCAACCACCATCAGAAAGACTCTCCCTTTCCTGAGAAAGGCATCACTCTGGGCTTTGATAATTTAAGAGCTGTGTTAGCTGATCATATCAACCCTGACCCTGCAAAATCTCTTTACCATTTCTTAGCTGAGTCTCGCGGATTAGCAAGTTCTCTTCTGCCTTCTCCCTACCAAAAAAAGAAAGAGAAGGAGTGATACAATAAATACATTACTTCACATCACTGAGATACAGGTGCCTCTGAGGAGAAGAGTGGGGGACGCAATAATTATTCAGTGCAGAGCAAAACCAGGAAAAAAACAGAACACATATTCAATATATATATTCACATATATATTTATGATAGCTTCATAAAATTTTAAGAAGTGAAGAGTGCAGGCTGGAATTTGGCAAGGACAACATTTCAATTCTTATGGGAAGCATCCCAAAATCTATACTGACTCAAGTGGCCAGGATTTTTGCTTCAAGTGCTACACAGTGAAAGCGTTCTTTATCAGGAGCATATCCCCTAGCACTGCATGAGGGAACTGCATCTGAAGTGAGGCGGTTGGAAGAGTGATACACACTGTTTCACCAAACTTGGCTTCCAGCTCGGTCAGAATTTTATTTGGAGAGTGATCAAAGCACCCACCAAGTCTGAGCTTGCTTCACTTCAGAGATGCATTGAAATTATGGCTGCATGGTATATACATACTTATTGGGGGAACCCCAGAAGTACATTATACTTTCCTCTGGGAACATATGCATTTTATGTCTATTGCAGGAACAACCTTTCCATACCTCAGCAAATTTTCTTCCAGTAGCTTTTTCCGCTTTGGGGGTCGCCCTCGTCTCTTGCCTGTCTTCCCAGGAACATTTGGGGTGTTTGTCTGCCCCCCGCATCCCCTGCAAAATGGCAAAACCACCATGAAATATCTGCTGAGCAAGGGAACTGTGGCTGACAGGATGGGAGAAGGGCAGGGAAATCGGAACAGCTGCTAGGAACCCAACCAAAGGAGGGATTAAATCAGAGACGGAATGGGACAGGGAGGGGAGGAGAGGAGGGATTCCCACTCGCTGGGAGCCTGATCTGGGAGCCGCCGGCATGGTGCGGGGCAGACAGGGAGGAATGCGGTGGGGCAGGCAGCATCGCTCCCACAGCAGGCTCTCCTGGTGCCACAAAGGCTGCAGGCTGGCTCCGACACAATGCACGACGCGGGGCAGCTCGCAGTCTGCTTGGCAACTCCAGTCTCGCCCCGCACCGCCCCAGCCCTCTCCCAGGCACACA